TTCATGGACACTCGTAGTTACCACACTCACTGGTCCTATGTTTTGTTTCTATCCATTCACAAGAGTGTCTGAACGACAATTGCAGATATCCAGATGGTGCCCCTTGGATATTACCACCACGTGGTTTACCATTGCCTTTCCAGGAAGCATCTAGAAGGAACCTTTGTAAGAGGACAGGCCTGCCACAGAGGACAAAAGAACGGACAGCTCTATATAACACTATGGGAAACTATACAAGTCAGCTTGAGGTTGTTGCTTTTTTGACAGACCTGGCCTTCAGCTGTTTACCCTCTTCACCATCCAGCTGAATACACCAGCAGTGTGATACGAGATGAAATATGAAGCAAGACAGATTCATCACAGCACATTTTCTATAGTAATGAGCTGTGTGTTGACAGTGCTCCAGCTTTAAAGAATAGTGTCTGCTGTATCAGCTAAAACATACCCTAAATTTGCTGACTGGTAGATATATGAAACCGACAATGCCAAACCTGTTGCTGCAGTCATTAGCATAAAACGGGGACAGAGTTATAAGCAGGGGGTGACCTGCATGATTGGCACATAGGACCAGGATGAAATATTGGTCCCCCTCCTCTCCAAAACCAAGCAAAACGAAAGAATAATCCATGCAATATAGGCAAAGGCTAATACACAGAAGAAAATATTTTTTACCTTGCTCTTCTCCACCTTGTTATATTCCCTCCGCCCTGTGCACAGTGATATATACTGTAAATAAATTAAGTCATGATTAACCCAGGGAATTTTTACTGAGTCTTAAAATCTTAATGAATTGAGCTTCTTACCCATGAAGCAGCGGATCACAATTAATTTCTCCCTCCCCCCCCCCCCACAGATGGCTTCTGCATCATTACGCAGCAAAAGGGAATTTAATCGTACCTGAAGAACGTGGCACGGAGGCAAACCATATTATCCATGTAGCCTTAGAATTTTGTGTGTGTTAACTTCAGTACTAGTAAGAAGGAGAATATATGTTTTAGTGTACTCCCCCCGCCTGCTGTGCTCTGTCATGATCATGTTTTTGAGCTGCTTTTAGAAATGTGCAATCTAAAGCATGTTCACTTACTCAGCTACATTAATAACCCACCTTTTTTCTCCAAGGAGCTCAAGGTGGCATGCATACATGGGTTCTCCTCCTCCTCCTCATTTAATCTCCACAACAACCCTGCGAGGTACGTTAGGCTGAGAGGCATTGAGTGGCCCGAGGTCACCCAGTGAGGTTCATGGCTGAGTGGTCGTCCAGGTCCTAGTATGACAGTCTTACCCAGGGGTAGGCAACCTAAGGCCCGGGGGCCATATCCGGCCCAATCGCCTTCTAAATCCGACCCGCAGACAGTCCAGGAATCTGCGTGTTTTTACATGAGTAGAATGTGTGCTTTTATTTAAAATGCATCTCGGGGGTATTTTTGGGTCATAGGAATTCGTTCTTCTTTTTTCAAAATATAGTCCAGCCCACCACATGGTCTGAGGGACGGTGGACTGACCCATGGCTGAAAAAAGGTCGCTGACCTTACCGCTACACTACGAGACACTCTCGCGCTATATTCAATCGTGCTTTATGCAGTTCAGGAGTGGCTTGCCTGGTGGGGCAGAGCCGCAGCAATAGCCTCCTGGGAGCCTCCTCCATCACTGCCGCTTACTGGAAAGGGGAAGGCAGTGACAGCAAGGCTGGAGCTTGCACTACCTGACCTTGCTGCCATCTTGCCCTTCCCAGTAAGCAATAGTGGAGGCAAGCTGCTCCTGCTATCACCGAGTAATTGATTTTTAAAAGCTGCACATCTTAATATATGCATGCATTTTATTGGCTTTTCTTTGTTGCTCCACAATTATTTGCCGCATCTGTTGGCAGAGCATACTTACTCTCACATTGCAAATTAGCAAGACATTATCATGCTGCATTCCTGGCTTGAGGAAAGCTTTTTTAAAAGGAAAAAAGAGGGAGGGCCGGAGAAGTTGGCTAAGAGTGAGCCGTGTTAATTCTTGCTTAAATTAACACAATCAAAAAAAAGATCGGCGTGGACCACAAGTAACACAGGTTAAGCTTAATTTATTACATAGATGCTGATTTCCCACAGTAAACTGTGTCCAGAGTGGCTCAGAGTGACCTCAATTGCATGCCACTTTAAACCTGGGTTAGGAAATGGTGGTATAGTAATTTAATAAATAAATAATAACAACAATATGTTGCCTAGTTCTGTTGTTGTTGTTTGGTTAATATTGTAGATGCGATAAGAAGTAGCTTTGTTTTTTAACGTAACAGTATATTTTTATACTTTTTTTTTTGTCCTAACAAGGGCCCCCAAGGCAGTTTGCATAAAAGAGCAGAACCAACCAAAATAAGCATCAATTAACAAATAAAATAAAATTTAAAAAAATCCTCAAAATCAAAAGGAGCAGAGTTATTGTCTTAATCACAGATTAAAAACCACATGGAATAAAAAAAAATGCTTTTTTGTTGTTGTTGCTGTTTGCTTAAACACAGTTGGAGATGGGGCTGCTCTCACCTATACTTTGGTGGAAAATTCCACAGCTAGGGTTCTAGCAGAGAAAAAAAACTCTGGTATCATATTTCTGAAGTCCCCACTGGACTTCATTTAGTGGTGGGACACCACCAAAAGGATTTGAATGATTGATCATGAACAAGGCATCTAAACTAAGGTTACCAGACGTCCCCATTTCCCCGGGGACAGTCCCCGGATTTACAAATCAGTTCCCATACAAAATCCAATGAATTTGAAAAGTGTCTCTGGATTCATTTTAAAAAAAATATGGTAATCTTAATCTAAATCCCATTTCTAGTGTTCTATCAATTATACTGATAGACCGTCTTACGCTTCTGGTAAACAACTATAGAAATTGGCTAGTTAAAGTTTACCTGGTCTCTGCTTACATTTTACCTGGCTCCTTTGGCTAGTGGATCAGCTGACTAGGAGTCTGCTGGCCAGATTTTCCCCAAGAATGATCAGTTGCTAATCACTACTTTATGTAGCCTTAAAGTGTTTATTCTTTAATACGTGTGTAGTATTAGATTATACGTGTGTCACCCTTAAGTTTTGTAACAGTCCCTTCTTATGATTGGGGGCGCGCGCGCGCTGTAGTGCTCTTCCAAATGTGATTTTCATTTGCCTTTTAAAAATGTGTCTGAGCTCAAGTCATGCCCTGGAATTCTTCCTGAATGTAGCAGCATTGAAGATACTTCCTTGAATCTGAACTCTTCACCCTTGGTTGTTTCAGGCAGAGAGGACACTGCTCTGTGAATTAGAGCGTGCATCGGTTACAGTTCTCCTGATGTTGGTGACCCAAGTTTCTTTCTGTATGCACAATTCCTGACTGAAAAGTCTTTGTTGAGATTTTAAGGAAAGCAAGCATATTTCAATGATTCATTTGTTTTGGAGCCAAAAGGAGCTTCTGAAAGATTTGCTTTTCCTCTTTTATTGTGTACACAATACGTTGCTGCAGTTTGGCAAGATACTCTCTCCTGAGTGTCAAAATAGATATATTGTTCTTAGTTTTTGCAAATCCTTAGCCACAGAACAAACCTTTAGTGGGGGTTTTTTGGGTGTGTGATATTTGTATATAATAATTTTTAATAAGAATGATAATAATAATCATCATAATAATTTTTTTATTTATACCCCACCCATCTGGCTGGGTTTCCCGAGCCACTCTGGGCGGCTTAGAGCATATACAAGTATAAAACATAGTAAAATGTCAAAACGTAAAAAAATTCCTGATACAAGGCTGCCTTTGAATGTCTTCTAAAAGTTATGTAGAATAATAATAAAATTTTATTTATTTATTTATATTATTGAATATTATTTATATTAAGTACAGAGTGATGAATGATAGCAGTGAGGCTTCGGCCTGCTTCTACCTCATACAGTAAACCTCTGTCAGGGCTGCTCTGTAGGTGATCACATGATTTAATGCTTCTGTGGAGGACAAATCCCTCATATAAAAAGTAGAATGTTGGGGAAAAGGCTAAACAATAACTCATTTCCATGACAACTAGCGATTCTTGCCCCTCTGGTTTTTTTGGGTGAGGTTTTTTTCCTTGTAGAATTTTTTTATTATGAAACATCCTAACACAGGTGAAACTATTAGAGCTGACTGAGTGATGTGTGACTTCAGTAACACACAGAAAAGATAATGATTGACTGGAAAACAAATGGCTGGTATGGCGTTGGTTAACTATTTTTTATTTTCCTTTTGCAGAAATAACTTTGCCATAATGTCCGTTGTCCTGAGGATGCTTCAGCAGTGAAGCAGCTCAGACTTGAGGTTGATTTCAAAGTTGTTTCCATTCACACCAGAACTATGGCTTGACCAATGGAACTTCCTATGCCTCTCCTCTCCCCCTCCTAGTTCACCTTGTGCCCCCCACCTGAATCTGATCTGGAGGGTTGGGGAAAACCTGGGGAGTGCATGGGGGTGGGAGGAGAGAGAGAGAGAGAGAGAGAGAGAGAGAGAGAGAAGTTCTGCTGCAGAAGCAGATGCCCTTTCATGAACAGGATGCATTTGTGAAAGGCTCCACCCTTTCCTGGCTCTCAGCTATGCCCTGATTTAGGCAGGTGCTCTTAATTTTTCCCTCATCCTCCTGAGTAGCTTCATGTGTTCTTTCTAGGCACTTTGGTAGTGGCCCAGAAGTTCCTGCCTTCCGCACTGTCTCTCCCACCGTTGGGTAGATGAAGCAGGGCTTGAGATCCAGACAGGAATCCAGACAGTTGGTGTGCCTTCAGCTCTAGTGGGGGGATTGAATGCCACTTCCTCAAGAGTCACTGGCAAAATCTGCTAGGGGGTACTGCTTTTTGAGAACCTATGTTCAGATCATCCTCTTAAAAAAAACCAAAATGGTTGAAGAAAATTATTAGTTTGCTCTCTTCCCAAACGTATTATTATGTAGTTTGCTTATAACATAGGTACATGACATTTGTTTATAATGTACATACATGACATTTGTATTTCACTAACCCTAACCCTAAGGATGTGAGGGTGATCTGGCTGTGACATCTGTCACCCCATTGATTGCCAGGGTTGATTCGGCTTATCTGGCTGGCTAGCCTGGTGTCCCCTTCCTCCCTCACCACTCCATGTGTGTCCCTCCCAAAGCTGTGTGCTCGGTGGAAGAGGACGACCATCCCAGATAGAAGGAGTGTACCATTCTTCGGTCAAGGGTATACAATAGCTGTGCTCCCCTGCTAGAACCTCCAAACTAGCCTTCCAACCTTTAAAGTTATTTTGTATTTACAGACATGAAGAGAAGCTTCTGAAGCTATGCATAGGGATAGGTGTGTGACTTATTCATACTATTGATTCATATTCTTAGGGTGGATTGGCTGCTGTGTCTTTTCGGGGAGACTGCTTTACTCTTGTGAGGTGTGCAATGAGTGCAAGGGCTTACTAACCACACAGTCATTTCCTTGATAAATTGTACCCAAGAGATACAGAAAACCTCACAGCTGAAGTCTGTGACCTTTCAGTAAATACTTACCATTGATTCTGCAGAACAGATAACTTGCATGAGTAAAAAAAAAAAGACAACTGAGGATGGGTAAAAGTAATGTCTGAAGTGGCTGTTGGGCTGGATGAGCCTAAGTCACACAACCCTATGAGAGTATGACTCGGACTGAGAAGCAGAATTTGGAACTCATCGTAGGAGCCATAGCAAAATGTGGCACTGATAGTACTAAACTACACTGCACATTGGCTTAATTTATTGGGCATTTTCACACAGAGGCCTTAAACTAAAGAGTGCTGAATTCAGACTTATGGTTCAGCCTGATGTCTAGATATTGTACCTTCTTCCATACCCTCACTGCCCAATTGTCTGTGCTCACTGAGCATGCTTATGCTTGACATCACGATTCAGTTGCTTTCAGTTTTTGCAACAGTTTTAGTCAAAGCATGCACATTGGAATCAGAAGCTGCCAATGTCCATAAGCACTGAAGAATATCCACGGCCAAAATTGTGGTTATTGTTCTTGGGATGCATAATGAAAACAAAAACGCAACAACAACAAAAATGGTTTGAACCATAAAATATTTTGAGGGACTAAGCAGACTCCAGCCCTTCCTGTCTCCTCTTTTGTTTTCCAAATGCATCAACAGATGGCCATGGAAGTGCTAAATCTGTACCTTGAGTGACCTTTGCCATTGAGGAAGGTAAATCAGTTGTGGCAGGAAGCCTCCCAGAATATCTCTAAAGGACTGAGTTGGTAGGTACTTGTTGTAAACAAATCTAATTAAAGAAGATTCTCCAATGTTGTGATTAGCAAACAGTATTGCTGTGGTGCAGGTTCTAAACATTACCTTGTTTCAGGAGAGAAAAAATTAGCAAATCACAGAATGGTTATAGAGACAGAGTTTTTTTTTAACCCTGCGAAAGGTTAATTGGTGAGTGGGTCGCAGAGAGTAAGTAGTTTGGAAATGTGTTTCAGATACCCTTCAAATTACATATTTCATTATCTGTGTGGTGTGCCAGCATTGTAGCTGTCCAGTAGTTCCATCAATTCTATAAGGGGGCTCAATTTTAAAACTTGATTGATCTTGTCTTATTCCTTTGGAGTGATATGGAAAGTGTGAAAGGTTTGCTCTGAAGCTGTTGGCAACAATCACCTGATTGGCCAATACATTGCCAGTCTTTTCTTAACTTCCTGGGACTTGAAATGCCCTCGCTTTACAAATCTCCATGCTTCTTACTCCAAGTTGGGACAGCATTGACTGCTGCTTTTCCTATGTTTTAGATGTCTTGTACCCTGTCTGTATTAACTATTACCAGTGCTATTTTTCTAGAAAAAGAGGTGCTGGAACTCATAACGAATGCCTCCCTTGTTCTCTTACATTGGCAATGGTGCCCACCTCAGAGATGCTGGAACTGAGTTCTGGTGAGTTCCAGCTGGAAAAAGAAAAGCCCTGACTATAACTACTACTACTTCTCAATACCTGTGTTTCAGAGCCATAGCACCCGGTAATAGATGTTGTAGGCTTTCCTATGCTAATGCAATAATCATCTGAGGCAAGATGGGGGAAGTGGAGTGCTTGGTTTTAAAGGAGGTGTGCATGCTTTGAGCCTGCACATGCGCTTCATTACTGGCTTAGGCTACAATTCTAACCTCACTTAACCTGGATTCAAGGAGCCACTGAATTCCATAGGACTTTCTTCTGAGTAGACAAGGTTGGGATTGTGCTGTTAATCATTGCAGTCAGACAAACTACTGCATGTTTTTCAATATGTGCAAAGTTGTCTGCAGTTTTCAATTTGCCTGAATGCATGTGAGCAATGGCTTTTTTTTGGGGGGGGGGGTCCAAACTCAACCATGTGAAAGGGCTAAAGAAAGACAATCAATAAGCTTTTATCAACCTGGTGCCTTCCAGATGTGTCCAGTGCTTATTACCACTCCAAGTCTCATTAGCCTTTACTGGGAGTGGAAGCTCTACAACATCTGGAAGGCAGCAGGTTGGCTAACCCAGTTACAGAGATTTAGAGTGTTCCATTCTTCAGGGTTTTTTTGTGTGTCAACCAGATGGGCCCATCCTTTCAACTTCCAAAATAAATAAATACAGGCACACACGGTTCAGAAATGCATAGTAGCAAATGATTATGTCAAAAGTACAACTGGGCCTGTGTTCATTCTTTTTGCATAACATAGAAACGTCCGCACTGAATGATGCTCTTGTATACCACATTTTTCTTACAAAATGAATTCACCTTACCTCACTTGGTGTAAATACTTTTCTTCTTAAAATTCTTATTTTCACTGCATGAATGGACACTGAAATTTGAAATCCTATATCTAATTTGGCTGGGTGTAGTAGGTACCATTGAGTACAGTGGATTTATTTCTGTATGCAATTGTACTGACATGCTGCTTTTAAATATAAATGACAAGATAGTGGCACTTGGGCAGCAGGAGAGTAAACCTCAGTGGAAATGCAAAAGTTCGATCTAAATCAACTTAGGCAGGAAGCTCATATTCATGCTTATTTAAACAGATGCTGCAAACCAGGAAATCACTATGATGCATTCCCAGAAAGAGGACATCACTGCAAAAGCTATTGAATCAAAATGCAGTTGCTTCACATTTATGTAGGGTTGTAATAAGTCACATTCAAAGCAGTCCCATTGAGATCAATGGACTTGAGTTAGTCATGAATACAACCTATACAGCTTTGCAGCTTTTAAAGCCCAGCTGCTTAGTTAAGGTTCGGAGAACCTGGTCATTGGCCATGCTTGCTGGGACTGATGGCAGTTGTTGTTCAACACCATCTAGAGGGCAAAAGTTCCCCACATCTGGTCTAGGCAAAAGATAGCCAAAACATCTTAAGTGGCTTACACAACACTTGCAGTGCTCAGCTTTCTTTCCGTTCCATATGGTTTTCGATTCTAAGGTTAGATGTGTGCTAGGACGCGGGTGGCGCTGTGGTCTAAACCACAGAGCCTAGGGCTTGCCGATCAAAAGGTCAGCAGTTTGAATCCCTGCGACGGGGTGAGCACCCGTTGTTTGGTCCTAGCTCCTGCCCACCTAGCAGTTCAAAAGCATGTCAAGCGCAAGTAGATAAATAGGTACCACTCCGGCGGGAAGGTAAACGGCGTTTCCGTGCGCTGCCAGACGCGGCTTAGTCATGCTGGCCACATGACCCAGAAGCTGTCTGCGGACAAACGGCGGCTCCCTCAACCTATACAGCGAGATGAGCGTGCAACCCCAGAGTTGTCTGCGACTGGACCTAACGGTCAGGGGTACCTTTACCTTTAGGAATGCAATAAAGAGACTTGGTCCCTGCTACTTTGGGAGTATAGGATAGGTGTGGGAAGCCTTTTGTCTGACACCAACTTCCATCAGCTCCAGACAGTATTGCCAGTGGTCATCTTGAGGCTCAGAGATTGAACAAATTTTAATTTCAGACTATGAATGCACATTGCAGATTATTAACTGAAAAATGAGCCAAAATAGGTACAGTGTACCAGAATAGTCCACTAAGGTAAGATGGGGAGTAATTTGGAAAGTTACTTTGCAGTTGCAGAAAAACATCAAGCAAAAGTCATTATCCTAGTCTGTATTCATATTCAGTGGCAGGGATGGGGAACTTGTGGGTCATGCATGTTTGGACTAACAGTAAACCTTGGGTCTGAGAAGATCCTGTTTTTTAAATAAAATGAAAAAGAGGCTTGGGAGGCGGAAATTCTGAGCATCAGAGTTATGGTGGAGGTTGAGCTTATCCCTTCCCCCCTATTGACATCTCTACCAGATAGGTGAGAACAAGGGAGTGGTTTTTCTATTTAAGTAGCACTCAGCAGCTTTCTCTTTCCATCCTACCTCCCAGGTTTGAGATGTAGGGAAAGGGCTAAGTGTCCTCTCTTTCTTTGCTTAAAAATTGCCACCTCCCTAGGGGAGGCTTTTCATTTCAAATATCTTAAGTTGCAATATTGTTGAACTACATGAAACTCAGAACTGTGCATGTACAGCCTTCTCAATGACTTTCCTGTGTTGGGTTTTATATATTCTACACAGGCTTTTAACTGAAAAATAGCAACCATACGCTTCTTAAAATGTCCCTCTTCTTGCTTCATTGTTTTGTAATAAATTCTGTTGTTAGGGATGTGCAGGATCAACAGGAACAACCTCATAATTGTGCCAAAGTCTGTTAACATTTAGCTACACCCAAATTTCACTTTTGTATGGGTGTAACAGCTCATTGTCATGTTTTTCTTTCTCTTCCCTTATTTCTTTGCAAGATAGTATAAATGTTCCTTTGGCTTGTTGACTTGGCCACGTAATCCTGACTTGGAAGGCTGTGGACACTTTTCAGTCAGAACATAGTGAGCCTTAGCTAGTCTGAAAACTTGACCTGTAGCTCTGCTTAATCCTGTGCAAGGCGGTTTGATGCCACAATGTCCTGCAAGATCCATAGAATATCAGAAAAAAAAACATGTACAATGTACATGTACAATTCTAGCACTTTCCCACAAGTAAGGCCAGCTGTACCATTAGGTAGTGTAGGGAGCCATCTAGGGAATCCCTGTTTGGGAGTATGGATTGTTATTTGTTTTATTTTTTGTGTGGGGTAGAAGGTATACTTTTCTAGTGCCACCTTAGTGCATGAGCTTGTGACATTGGGAAAAGTGGAGGGTGAAAGGAAGACAGCCTTCTTCATGTAAGCAAGAGCTGATCAGCCAGCAGTGGATCATGGGAGTTGTAGGCCAAAAACATCTGTAGGGCCAAGGTTGAGGAAGCCTGGTCTACACTGACTGGAAGCAGCTCTCCAAAGTTTCGGGTGGGAATCTTTCCCAGCCAACTGGGAGATGCCTGAGATTCAACATGAGACTTTACATACTGTATACAATAATAGTACGTAATATAATAATAGTATATAATAACAGGGTGCCTTTTTTTGCATACTATGCTGTGTGATGCAATTGATCCTTTTACAGCAGGGTTTCCCAAACTGACTGTAGCTGTTTTGGGACTACAACTTCCATCATTCCAAGCTAGTAGGACCCAGTGGTCAGGGATGATGGGAACTGTAGTCCAGAAACAGTTTGGGAAATCCTGCCTTACAGGAACCAACTGGTCTTTTTTTCACCATTTTTAGTTTAACCTAGATGTGAAAATGGGCCTCCTGAGCACATAATGTCAGATCATAATAGATTACTGAAGCTTTGCCAGGCTTTACCGTCTTTGAGTTGCGGCTTTCCTCTCATGTATGAATGAGATGCTTAGCCTCAGCAGTTGCTTTTGCCAAAGAAGCTGTTAAACTCGTCGATGGAGCGGTTATGCACAAGTGACTGACTTGCTAAGTGCATTTCTGTCTTCCTGTGCAGGAAAGGGAGGCCCTTTCGGCATCCCATACTCCCACTAAGTGCCCTTTGCCGCCTCCAGCTCTATTTTTGAGACACCTGCTTCCAGTCTGACAAGGAAACCCCAAATATAATCCCATCCCACATAATTAACAAACCTCCCTCTTACAGATAGCTAATGAACTTTTGCAGACAGTGGTTGTCAACGGGTGACTCTTTAATCACCTGGTGTTGAAAAATATTATATTGTTAGGCAATCGTAAATGGCATTTTCAGGCATATTACTGGGAGGCAAGTATGAGGCATAGACAAAGATCCTTCTTTTATCCTAACATCCCTTTCAGACTTCTTTTCTGATGTGTTGAGTGGAGAGGTTTGAGGGTACATTGTGAGGCAAAATCTGTACTGATTGGGCCTTAACTTTGTTTCACCACTTTAGGGAAATGCCTGACCATCAGGCCCAGACCCCCCTCAGCCCCAGACAGCATGGCAAGTGGCCAGGGATGCTGCGAGTTGTGGTCAAGCAACACATGGAAGGCCACAGATCCCTAATCCTTGATCTAAATCCCCTGTTCTGCAGCTGAGGAACCCTACATAATGCTGGCCAAGCCAACCTTCTCAGGGCCACTGTGTGTTGTAGGTTTGACCTTGTCTCTGCAGCGCTTCTATAGGGCTGGTTTTCAGTCTGCCTGCTGTGTCTCCGATAGTAGCCGCAAGTACAAATAATCACTTCCTCCATGTTGGGGACATACGTGCATGGTTCTCTGCCATTTCACTACCGGGTCCTTATTGGCTTGGATTCTAGATGTGACCTGTGTGTCATGCTCTCTCAGTTTGTGAATGTGGAGCCATTCCAGCTTTCTGGAGTTGTGCTGACTAATAGGCTTGACATGGTCACTTGCTTTTGAGTGTTCTACCATGAGCCTAACATTTCCTTCCAACCTCACATTCACGCCTGGGAGCAGTGCCAAGCCCTAGACTCATACACAAGTGAAAATTATTTCTGCCTTGTTCTAACACGGGGACTAATTTTGTACCACACAAATTAGGACAGCTGCTGTCAAACCTCCCAGGGTGAGGCAAATACAAGATGCCTGGAGTTGGGAGTACTCCGTTTTCTTCCCCCTCACTTCACCCATAAAGCTGGCTTGGTTTATTTAAGATTAGCAGCATTTACTGCTTTGCATGGCTGTCTGTTTCTCAAGTGAAAAGGTAACCCTGTCCTTTTAATCCCTCCTTCTTTGTAGCAATTATCCTTTCCTGCATTTTCCTTTTTCTTTTTTGTCTCTGTCTAACCAGGATCGCTTCTGCGGTGCATGTTGTGTATGAGACAAAATTGTTCATTACGCACATCGCCTGTTTTGATTATGTGAATGCCCATTGATACACAGCACACAGTAGAGGCAGTCCAGTGATGGCCTCAAGGGTGTATTAAGCACTACATCTAACCATTTTTTCATCCTTTCTACAGACCGTAATGATACGACACTGACAGGTCATATTTTGTTAGGAAGAATAAAAGGCATTTCGTTAGTGATCTTCACCACTAAGTGAAAACCCAGCAGCAGAGTTGTCATTGTTGTTCCACTTAGGGCAAATTTCATCCTAGTTGCATTTGGTGCCATATCTTTTTCTTTCTTTCATTGTTTCTAAAAGTAAACCAGTCTTCACACACGGTGAATCGACTTTGCAAGGATTTAAGATGTATCACATTTTTTCAAGTGCAACAATAACTGAGCATCATTTGATTCGTTTTTATTTGTGATTGGGAGGAGGCAAGACAAGAGGAGGAGGATTGACTTGGGGCAGGGAATGTAAGAGACAAGTGGTGACCAGGAAGTGCAGGGAAAGAAGGAATCCCGTTTGTGAAACTATTCCCAAGCATTTCTAATCTGCCCCTTGAAAATCTAAGCACTAAAACTCATTGAAATTTAGCATATCATGACAGCTTAAAGATCTGTATACCAGGCTTCTATGTTTTTATTTTACTTTTTTCACCTGGTGTATACTCTGAAATGGCTCTGAGGTTAAAAGTGATGCTTCACTCCATATACAAAATCTCCTCTCTTCTTCAGATCCACAGAGAGGAAGATTCTCCAGGAAAAAAAAACAACCGCCATAGAAAACTCTGTATGCATGGGGCCTGTGAGTGCACTTGGAACAGTCTCCAGTACCGTTACTTAGTGGTTCTGCCTTTTGGGGATTTGGGATTTTTAAAAATACATTTTTTTAAGTTATTAAGAGATTTGGAGAGAACTTCCTCCTCCTCTAACACACCTGCTTTGTAAGGTGGCAGAATAATGTGAATGGATGAGCTGTTATTAGCCAGACCAGAGAGGCCCTTAAATGATAAGGCTGAGCTCTCCACCGCCATTTCAGCTTAGATGTGCTGGTGTGGCTTTTGTGCAGTCAAATGGGTATCAGGCGGGTGCACCCGTCTCCTTATTTTGCCATCACTGAGCATTCCTAAACAAGAACACATCAGTAGCCCTGGATTTTGTGGCATCTTCTATTTCTTTTTGGAATGCAAACATACCCTTGATCTCCCAAACCCCTCTGCCAGCATCAGTCAATGAACGCTCGCTGGGTCACCACCAAGATGTTACCAAGATGTCTCAGAAGAGGCACGAACATTGACAAGAACAGAGCTGCAGGAAACCTGATTCCCAGATGGTTTGCCTGACCATTTCATTGGCAAAACATTGAAGTTTATGAACTCTAAACATACGTACCTCATTTACAGTTTGGAAGTGTGTGGGGAGAGTTGGTTTGATGAGGAATATGCACAACACATCTGAAGTCTTTAACTAATATTTGTGGTTTCCCCCCTAAAGAACTGGAAAAGTATAATGGGATGACTGTCTCCCCCCCATAGTCTATCTTGTCCCCCACATTTTGGCTCACAATGCTGAATGTGCTGCTGCCTCGATTGAGAATCTCCCCTTTCTTCCCAACCGTGGAGCTGCAGAGATGGACATGGAATTGTTCCAATCATTTCATGGCGATTCCTCTACCTTTGCTTCAAGGTTGGGAGTAAGACTGAGCATTGTTTGGCAACTCTGCTACAATGCAATAACTATAGTGCCTATGCAGAGTGAATCCAGCAATCCTGAGAACTGTATGTGCATTTGCATAAGTGTGTAAATAGCGGGTTGTTTCCCATTCCCTTCTCTCTTTTTGGCAAATCGTAAGAACAGGCTCCGCACAGCTCGCTTCTGCATTCAGCTCCTGCAGAGTGAAATTAGGAGAGTTTTGCTGCAACCGCGGCATTCCCACTGGTAACGTAACACTCTTTTTTCCCTGCCTCATTTTAAAACAGGCAGCCCGTAATTTTCGCAGTATTAATTGAGGAACTGAGCAGTTAAACGACCCATTTTAATAGTCAGAACTGAAAGCTAATGAGGAACAGTGGGTGTAAAGTAACAAAGGCCTGGGTCTGAAAAGCTTAACTTTCACTTCTCTCCTCCTTCCCCGAGGCCATATTATTCAGCACATGGACAAGGCAGAGCTCACACCCACCAGTTCTGTGTACAAGGTCAGATACTTTGCAAGATGCAGAGCTGACAGAGAGCCAAAGGAACAACAGCGGTGCAAGTTTAGTCTAGCAGATAGTAGGAGCAGAGACTTGTTTGTACCCAAAGGATTACTTCTTCTTTTCTCTGTCTGGAAATTTCTGATAATGCCTAAGTGATGTTATACTTGGGGGAAATCCTGGAAACTACAATGTGGCAGATGCAGGGGTGCTGCAACTATAGAAATAAAATACAGCAGAAATATTGGGATTGTGGGCTAACATCCAAAGGGCCTCTGATGGATTTTATTGCTACTTTCCTTCTTCCTCTGTTCCCCCCGCCCCTGCTCCCCACCCGCCTGCTGGTTGTAAACAGAGTAACAGGCAATAGGTCAATGTTATTTCAGGCCATATCAACTCTATACTTTTAAAGCACTGGTGCACCGCCTCAAGAATCATGAGAAGTTTTTGTTTGTTAAGGGTGCTGAGAGTCATTAGGAGACTTCTCTTCTCACACAGCTACAATTCTCGGAGTCCCCAAGGATTGACTGTTAAACCAATCTGGGAATTGTAGCTCTTTGAGAGGTCTAGGTTTCTGCTAACAACTTTCAGAACTTCCCCAGGATTCTTATGAGGAAGCTGTAGCTGTTTAAAGTGGTATGATTCGGCTTTAAATTTATAGTGCAGATGGGATTTCAGTTGCATCTTTTAATATTACCCATATTCCAGAGCTGGATATTGCTTTGGTGGCGATGAAAAATAATAATTGGCTGAAATAAGAGTGCCTCTTAGTCTACGCAGACTGTCTTGCCTGCAGTATGGGTGCAGATGAGGAACTGTCTTTATTGTTTGGGATTATAAATCTAGGAAATGAAGGCATTTTAAAATGTTTGTGGGTACGCCCTATGTAGAATTGAGGCCACCGCAGGAGGACACTCCAAACGCTAAACAATATTTATTTCTCTGTTGGCTCAGTTCTGTTAAATTCTGTTACATTTCCAGAGCTACATTAATCTGTTAACCATCTTCTTTTGAGATCCAATCTAAGCCTCTCCTTGGAATGATTGCATTTTCTAATTAATATTTGCTCAGACAGTTTCCTGTAACTAAACTGATGAGGAAGATCAAAAAGAACACTTGCGATCTTGTGTAATCTCAGACCTAGGTCAACTTGATTACCCAGTTTCTAGTCTAGACTGTCTTGATGGTTTATTATCCTGTCCTGTTGTTTATAGCTTTGGGCTGGGTTGGATTAGAGCAACCGTTGTAGGACTGGATTCTGATTTGTGGAGCATATTGTGGGAGCCTGTTTGCATTGACGGTAGATGTGATAAACCTAAAATCAAATCTTAGTTCCATTACAAATGCGTTTGATTTAGGGACACAAAAATAGGGACATTTTTGTTCATTAGTTATAACACTATAGTTATAAATTTTAGCAACTCTCGGGCATTTCACTGCCTTTGTTTCAAAATCTGAGACTTCCCTCTATGGTGTTGAAAGCAAGTCCAAATCAAGAGCCCATTCACAGTTGCAAGATTTATAGATAGTCCTTGATCTTTGGGTTCCTCCAGCACTAACAGTCTGAACAATTTGTCCATCTCCCAAAAAGAAAAAGAGGGAAGGAAGGCAAGTTTCACACATTTTTCTTTAAAATTAGGCATTTTTACAAATTGATGCCTCCATAGTCATTTCAAGATGGATTCAATCCTGTTGTGTGATAACACAAGAAATGACATTCTTGGTGGAAAGGAACTACTGTTTCTGGTGTCTTTGATTGAAATACAATTGTCAGTTGTGTATACTTTGATCTTGATAGTTGTGTAGACTTCTTATTGCTTTTAAAGTTACCTTATTATTTTTGTACTGGATTGTTTTATTTCATTGTGGTTTATTTATTGTATCTTGGGATTAGAGTAATGAAGAGCAGGTTAGAAGTTCCAACCAACCAACCAACCAACCACTTACCCACCCAACCAACCAACCAACCAACCAACCAACCGACAGTGCCCCTTCTCAACCCCTCCCACTTAAGATTGGCCTGTGTTTGACAGACACACCATTTTGTGACTGCTGTGGATTAAATGTGCTGTGACTTATTGATTGATGGCATCCTCAGCAATTCCTCATTCTTCCTTAAAACTGTTCAATTTATTCTTTGCTAATATATTGTTTGCAATATATTGGCTTCCTCCCTTTAACTGATCTTTTAAAAATAGGGTTGCAGTCCACTTTCTGATTAAAAGCAGAATGATCTGTGTTGTTAAGCAGCCATTTGTCAGGGTTGCTTTTATTTCATTTCGTTGCAGCCCCTGTCAATTTCCAAAAGGCCAGTGAGGCAAGAGTTACATTCATCATCTTGGAAGAGCCAATGAAGCAAACATGCCCTCTGCCACTTACCTACCAGCAAGGATTTGTGCATTAGGAAGCTTCGCCATTACTTTAGGAAAGGCTCCCCGTCTGTCTCTGCTTACTGCTTCATGCACCTTCTGCTTAACTGCTACAAGCACCCAGTAGACCTTTGGACTGATCAGAGGAAACCTGTGGTTGATTTAGGCACTCCTGGGGCAAGAGCACATGCTCTGCTGTCAGAAGGATCCAGGTTTTATCCCAGAGGATTAGGTGGCAGATGATGTGGAAGACCCAGCCTGAGATCTTGAAGAGCTTCTGTCTGTTAGAGGAGACAATCCTGGCAGCTTTTTAATGTTCCTGTGTTTTCTGTTGATCTCTCTCTCTCTCTCCCCCACACCACCTTTTCCCTCCCTCCTCCCCTCCTTTTCTTCTAGAGCAGCCTTTCTCAACCTTGGGTCCCCAGATGTTGTTGAACTACAACTCCCATCATCCCTAGCTAGCAAGGCCAGAGCTCAGGGACGTTGGGAGTTGTAGTCCAACAACATCTGGGGACCCAAGGTTGAGAAACACTGTTCTAGAAGTACACACAGGGCCAGCCCACTCATGAGACCCAGTGAGCGACTGCCTCAGGCGACAGCATACACCAAGGTAGCACGTCTCAGTGTTGATATGTCAGGCCATCTCTTGTTCCAGTTGTAGATCTTCTCTCACCCCTTCTTCCATGGTGTGGAGAGCGGGCGCCTTTTTGGGGTCTGCCTCGGGTGGCAAAATGTCTTGGGCCGGACCTGACTACCCACCACCTTTATGCAAATAAACTTTGCATTTAGAATGTGCAATGTAGGAAGGTTTGAACAAGATTCTAAATTATGTTGCATACAAATTCTTTTAAAACAAATAAAATCAAAGGAAAGTGGATTTCTGGTGCTAAATAGTTTACATAATGGGAAGTGGCAACAAAGGAAACAGTTTCTGTATCTCTTCCACCCACAAATAACTTTTGGTACTGTTTCCCAATCCTGCCTTGGCACAGGTGTTTCTCAGTAGAAGCAAAGGCTTCTGAGAAAGAGAATGGAGAAACTGATGTTAGGGAAGGACATATTATACCCCATTCCCTGCCAGTTGCTGCAGTACACCTGCAAAGTTTGCCCCTTGGTGCAAAGGTATATGTTTTTGGAGGAATTGACGCAAGGGAAGGACATAGCCCACTTTCCTCCTCATTGCAGTCCCACAATTCA